CTCTCTCTTTCTCTGTCTCTCTCCCTCTCTCGCTCTCTCTCGCTCCCTCTCTCCCTCTCTCTTTTCCTCTCGCCATCTCCACCGACGTGAAAAGTTCTGCCATGCTGGATTTGCGTAGACCGTCAGAATACCCACACATGTACGCGATCTGTGGTCGGGATTCGCACGGTGGCGATTACATTGGGTTCAGTCGCCGCAAACGAGCAGTGTCGTGTGATCCAACAGGAATTTCTCTCTGTGAGTTCGATGTGTGATAGGGAGTCTATGACGTTCGGGGCCATTTGATCGTGACGTTTGATTGGGTCGTGTGATGAAGGCGGAGATCGCCTCTATGTGGCTCTCTCTCTCTCTCGCTATCTCTTTATCTCTCTTTCTGTCTTTTATCTTGTTCGTTTCACTGCGCTTGTTTGTGTCGTTCGCACAAAGTTTGCGTCAGTTTTCTATCAGTGCCTCTATGTCGTTCGTCTTTTAACCGTCGGCCTTCTTTCAGGAATCTAGTTCCATTGGCGACCACTCGCCCCGATCATATGGCACACTCACACGTCCACGTGGCAGGTCCTTAACAAGCGTGGGCTCGCTGATGGATGCGGGGCTCTATGCGGCAGCAAAATGTTGTCGAATAGAACCCCGCACCCATCAGCGTGGCCACGCATGATCAGGACTTGACACGTGGACGTGTGTGTCGTCGTGTTCAACTACCATCTTCGTCCCCGTCGTTAGTTTGTCTTCAGTGTCTTTATTTCGTTCGTCTTATGCGTTCGCCTTTTTCTTCCGCGAACGTACCTCGGGGTGCGTTTGTGGATCTCGTTCCAATGGCGACCACTCGCCCCGATCAGATGGCGAAGTCAAACGTCCACGTGTCAATTCATGAACAAGCGTGTGCACGCTGATGGATGCGAGGCTCTATGCAGCAGCAGAAAGGATGCCAGGCTGCAATATAGCCCCGCACCCATCAGCGTGGCCACGCATGTTCAGGACATGACATGCGGACGTGTGAGTCTGCCATCTGATCGGGGCGAGATGAAGAAGTTTCGGGAGCAAGAATGCATGCGTTTCATTCGCGATCACTCACACCGATCAGATGGCACACGCAGACGTCCACGTGTCACGTTCTGAACAAGCCTGGCCACGCTAATGGATGTGGGGCTCTATGCGACAGAGGGGCTCTATGCGGCAGCAGAATGGATGCGAGGCTCCAATATAGCCCCGCGCCCATCAGCATGGCCACGCATGTTCAGGACATGACATGCGGATGTATGAGTGTGCCATCTGATCGGGGCGAGATGAAGGAGTTTCGGGAGCAAGAATGCATGTGTTTCATTAGCGATCACTCGCACCGATCAGATGGCACACTCAGACGTCCACGTGTCACGTCCTTAACATGCGTGGCCACGCTGATGGGCGCGGGGCTATATTCGAGCCTCGCATCCATTCTGCTGTTGCATAGTGCCCCGCATCCATCAGCGTGCCCACGCTTGTTCAGGACGTGACACGTGGACGTCCGAGTGTGCCATCTGATCGGTGCGAGTGATCGCCAATGAAACACATGCATTCTTGCTCCCGAAACTCCTTCATCTCACCCCGATCAGATGGCACACTCTCACGTCCACATGTCATGTCCTCAACATGCGTGGCCACGCTGATGGGTGCGGGGCTATATTGGATTGGGCGAGATGGTTATGCTCGGTGGAAGAAAGACGAGCTAGAAACTTGTGCTGCGACTACAGCAAACGTGTCTGTTGTTTGGATTGGGCGAGCAACAACCAACTAAAACTCACGACGACGGCGATATCCCCCGTGATGACGCACACATTATAATGACACACTATGGCAATCGCGGGGAGGTCCGGTGTGTGGTGGGGCGACAACAAAGCGAAGCGCCTCGGCCAAGTCGGATTAATCCGAACCACACCGGTGGCATTTTCGGATTTACCACATGCGCAGAGGGTATTGACGACGTCCAAGGTCTGATAAACTTGTACGTCGCGGCGCAGCCTGACGTGGTCGCACGTATCGGGACAGCCTCTGTCGAAATCGGATAAATCAGAGCCACACCTGTCTTAAACACTCAAGGACGAAGACACACCGTGCGAAATTCGGTTGGACCCGAGGACAGCTAGGGAATAGCGGAAGCTCGGATGGTTGGATGGGCGTCAACAGACCGTGGGGTCCATCCGCCGGTCCCCGTCTCGGATTAATCCGAGCCACATTTGTGAAGTTCAGGTTCAACCAAACCAAACCTCCGACAGGATACGGTTAACCCAGTGCTCGCAGGTCGGTGACGAAAACACGTGCTGTAGATGACCTCTTCTGGACAACCGTCTCTGGACCGCGTTGTTCGAATTCGTTTGCATCCGAGTCAGAACCGTTACCGACGCAGAAGGACAAGAAAACTCGAGTTCGGTACGGACCGACAGGGGGAGGTCCACACCGCTTTGGAGCTYGGATTCATCCGAACTACAACGACGGACTTTGCAATCCCCTTGTCGACTACGGATGACAACGTATCGGTCTTCGTTTGCCGTATCAGCGTTCTAGGGCCTTCTTGCGAGGTGTTGCTTTTCCCGGTGCAGGTGCCTATGCGACATCACTTTTTCGACTGCGCCTGCTTCGGATGTATCCGATCTATCCCACGGTCTTCGTTTTCGACCATTCATTCTCTTAAGGGGAGTGTGACGAGGATGGCTCACGATGCCGC